TTTTAATTGTATATTAATATTTTGTACATGTGTTCTTTCAGGGTTTTTTATTAAAGGTTTAAAAACTACGATTATAGTTATTAATCCAACCCCAGTACCCCCGTTACATTTTCACAATCAAAAACGTTGTAAATTATACCTGAAAATATTTCTAAAATATGCTATATATATAGCAACAGTGGACAACGCCATAATACCACTCACAGTGGACAACACCATAATACTAGTCACAGTGGACAATAATCTCAGATCATTTCAGAGTGAACTTTCGTTAGAATAACACCTGTTCGATCGATCATCGATAAACACGCACTTAAACATTTTTCAAAAATATTTTTGTCTTTTGTCCAGAATTGTTTAATCTGGTTATAACTTGCACTTCAGCAAATTGACACAGAAATCAAAACAATGTCTTCTACACGCAAACGATTGTATCGACAACGGGTTGCATGCGATGCATGCGCAAGGAACTTGATTCCGATTATAAACAAAGTCACCTAAAACGCTTACACTTGGGGGATGCTATTACTTTTACACCAGTTCAACAAAAAACTGATAAATCTCAGCCACAATTAAGTGGTTTTTTCGGGAAAACACATACTAGCACATCTTCAGAGTAATCAGAATGTAAGTGAAGTAATTAGTAGCGAGCGTAGTGAAGTGGAAACGCATCTAATTGATGATTGTGATCCTTCTTCCGAATCTGATAATGTATCCAGAGGCACAGTCCACGAACGTTACGTTAAACCAACTTGTTTCAACACACCTGATATAAGTACTAAAATCCAAATGCCGGATGTTCTAATTTTAAAAAAGGGATTGAGAAAATTCGAAATCACGAGGATTCTGAAATTCACAAAAGTTCTATGAGAGTTTTAATTGTCACTAAGTTTCGATTACGGAGTGACCAGACAGTCTATCAAAATTTGATGAAAGCCAAAAATGCCGAAATCGAACGAAATCGGCAAGTTATGAAGCGTCTGGTAGATGCGATACTTTTTCTGGGAAAACAGGGTCTTGCATTCAGGGGTCGCAGGGCAATTTTCTCGAACTTGTTAAATTCATTTCAAAATATGATCAAATTCTAGTCGACCATCTGATAAGTGCTAAAAGGAATGAAGCTTATTTAAGTCATCACATACAGAATGACATCATTGAATCCATTGCCAATGAAGTTCTTCGGGGAATTCTATTTGAAGTTCGTTATGCTAAATATTAAGCTATTATTCTAGATTCAACTATAGATATTAGTAGGATTGATCA